CTGCTTAGGTGCCACTGGTGGTGGCACTGTATCGATACTTTTAAAAACGAGTATTGTATCCGGATACAACGTTTCAGTATCGATACTTTTTTGAGTATTGATACTTTTAACAACCCTATTCTCTACTCATTTTATCACGGTTAAGGTTGGGGATTTAGAAAAGATTCTCAACACTAGAAGCTAATTTGCTGTGTGTCACAACAACAGTTGGTGTTTTAGTGTTCAGCCCCTGGCAGATAACAGGTCTTTCTGAAAACGCTTTTCTGAAAAAAAAAATAAAGAGCACCACATCAAGCCATTGAAACTTTAATACAGTGTGTGTGCAAAGTTTTTCCACCTGCTGCCTCTTGACGCAAGCGGAATTCAGGCTTCCAAGTATAGGGTTGTCAAAAGTATCGATACTCAAACGTTGTATCCGGATATAATACTCATTTTCAAAAGTATCGATACAGCCATCTAAAGTGCAGAATAGTGGAAAATGCACTTGCTTAATATCAAACTTGCTTAATATTGTGCACAGCATACAACCTCAAAATATTATTCTTATTGTTTTTTATTTATTTATTGTATTTTTTTATTAATGAAAATATTTCTGTTGAATTTTAGAGTCTTTGTTTTTATTCTTGTGGTATCGAAAAGGGTATCGAGTATCAAATATTTTACTTAGTATCTGTATCGAGTTGAAAAGTTTAGTATCGTGACAACACTATCCACGTATTAAAGATCTGGACTTTCCCTGCCCACCAATTGCTTATTTTCTTAGAGGACCTGGATTTATCTGCTGCTGACGCTCCTCTACTCTAAGATTAAAATTAATTGTAATGGGTTATAGGAGCTGATGGATGGTTTTCAGATAATCCAAGATTATTAGCAGTTTTTCCAACTCTCACCACTCCATCTGGCACTGATGACTATCACTCATTAAAAGTTACTGTACCTTCCTCCTCCTTGTTGTGATGCTGCTCTTGAACTTGTGCTTATCTTTTTGGTATTAAGCAGTTGAACAGTAGGACCTAATGTAGTGTTTTATTGAATTGTCTTTTGAAAATGTTTGCTTCACATTTTTATCTCCAAATATGTAGAGGAGTTGAGTTTTGCTCACTATGGCGCTATTATTCTGTGTTCCTCTATAATGTAATGATTAAATTTTGTCCTTTTGTTTCTAGGAAACGAAGCTCAGCTGGTTTTCAGCTCTTCAACTGGAATTCAAGTGAAAAATCTCACAAGCAAGAAATATAGGGTCCTGGTCCCTCCATCACCAGGACCAGGTCCAATAACAGCCCTGGCTTCTAACCACACTGTGTACTGGGCCCAGCAGGGACAGGGATCCATATACAGGTGACAAAGCCCACACTGGAAAAAATTGAAATCTATATAAGTAATTTTTTTCTTAAAATAAGTGCATTTGCCTTTGGATTGAGGAGGTAAAAGACATTTTGCCAATGGAACAAGACAATTTACACTTAAAATAAGAAAACACAATTGCATTGTCTTATTTCAAGTGCATTTTATCTAATTATCTTATTTTAAGAGTAAAAATACTCATTCAATCAGCAAACTACCTCATTTACCTACTCAAATTAAGGGTAAATACACTTAGTTTAAGAATTTTTTACTTATTTCTAGATTGTTTTTTCAGTGTACCTGCTGTTTCTCTTGGTGGCCCAAAACTCTTTCTCAATTCTTTCTGTGTCTCATTGAATATGAGATTCTTAATGCATTTGATCAGAACTGTCTATTTATGATTTATAATGAGCTTAAAGGAATAGTAGAAAATTAAGGCTAATCATGTTTTGGGTGTACTATTCCTTTAATAGGATCCAGCTGTCTCAAAAGATCCCCTTTTAAGTTATACTCCTGAAAAGAAGTCAAAACGGCACCATCACAATAAAATTTAAAACACACATGATTTTATAAACCGAGAAATACAAAACTTAAAGCTTTTCTCTAATTGGTCTCTGTCAACTGAGGCCACACAAATGCGGGGATGACTGCTGGCAGGATAGATGTCTAGAGCGCAGTTAGTGACACCTTTCACAAAGGGGATTAGCCACAGAAAGTCTTTATTCAAGCATATTCATAGAAAGCTGAGGTTGGTAGGAATTGGGTGCACCAACCACAGGGTCAGAGGATTCTGAAGCAAAATGCAAATGAGGGTGGAATGGATGCATCAAACGGCACTAAATGCAGGAGATTCGTCCACACTGAGTGCAAACGCCACATTCCTGATATCAAGCTACTTTCAACCAGAAAAAACGAAAAATTAACTGGACAGACTGTAGAGGAATGATGCACACGCTCAGAATCCATGTTGGTCAAAGTTGGGGGTGAAGTTTCGTAGGTCAGAGACGGTCTGTGATGCCATATTATCTACAGTCTGCCAAGCCACGTATCTGGACATTTTAAAGCATATTATTATTTTTCTTATGACAGGCTTTGCAGAGACACTGATTCTATTTTCTAGAAGGACTTTGCATCTATCTACACTGCCAACGGTATCACAACCTACCGTACTGAGCATTGGGCTAACTGACCTGAGCTTAACTAATGTTCTGTGGGGAAATGAGAGAATAATGAGAGCTGGAAGACCCAGCAATGTTACGCAGCATTGATTCTGTAGTTCATAAATAATCGCCCTGAAACAAACTTGATTTTCATAAGTTTGAATTTACCTATTAAGTTATCCATATTTTATTGAATTCCTGATATTCTAAAAATATTAACAGTGAAAAGAAACAAAAAGCTTTTAATATTTTGATCTGTGTAAAGTATCTACATTAATGAAAAAGTATTGCACTATATAAATAGTTTACCTTTAAAACATAAGTTGAAGAAAACAAGGGTCGTCTAGTGATTTTTACTTTCTGAATCGAAAGACAAATTATGGATGATTTTAAACTGACGAGAGCCGAAAGGTAATATCACAGTATTTACACTTCAGTAATCATTAACCGAATCCTTTCACGCTTCTTAAAATTAACATTTCTCTGAGCACAGTTAGCAAACATCCTTTATGTTCTGCTGATCAAACAGTTCTCACACGCCACCTAACCAGTCCATTACTCATCACTGCTACAATCGGTGCATGTCAGCATTAACAGCCTGGTGGAAAAGTGATGTGATACCATTTCTTAAAGCAGGAAATAAAAAACCTTTATTGGCTACAGTAAAATTAACATATTTTAGACAGTAAAATGTTCAGAGGTTTTGTTTTTTAAGCTATTAAAGAGGATTTTGCAGAAACATTCAACCTGGAAAACAATATTGTTTAAACTACTATTTTAAAGACAATTATGCCTGAGATGAATGTAAACAAACTTCTATTTCTTTTTTAATGTTTTTATATGTTTTTGTTTTTTTCAGGATGTCAGTAGCTGGAACCCCAAAGGAAGCGGTGTTGGTGTTTAAAGTCGCAGGTTCAGTGTCGGGGCTCGCTGTGGACTGGATCCACCAGCTGCTCTACTGGACGAGTGTGGAAGCAGGTTCGGTTAATGTGGCTCTGCTGGATGGTTCATCGCAGCATCAGCTCATCACGGGGCTCAGCAGACCTTCAGCCGTGGCTGTGGATCCTGTCCAAAGGTAGGAGGGGATAAGTAACAGATCAGTTTAAGGAAATATCTTTTAAGCTCTGTTTGATAAAAGATCATGTAACATGTAAAGCAGGCCTGAATGTTTCTGCTGCCTTTATTAGTTGACATAAAGTATATTGACTAAGTGACTTTAATATAAACTGTTAAAGTTGGAAACTGCTCATGGACAGAATTCATTATTTATGTTTACAAAGGGTGAGTTGAATCCAGTTAGGAATTTGTAACTTCTTGACTAACACTAATGAAAAAGAATGAGAAGAATTTTATTTAATTTTTTATCATGCTCAAACAAAGTTAATTAACTAAAGCCCAGTTTTAAATCATTTTTATGCCATTAATCGGAATCAAAAGAATGGGGACTTTCTTATAAACAGTTTTTATATAAACCAATGTTTTTATATATTCCCCACTGCCATCAGACTGCTAAATGTTATATAAAACAGGTTATTAAAAAAAAAACCTGAATGTTGGAACTGTAACTATAGTCATATGTTTATATCACTTTTATTTCTCACCAGTGTTTTTTTAATCACGCATTTATCATTGCTGCTTACCTTTATCAAGGCTGCACTTTAAAAAATGAAAGTCTAGAGAGCTGTACTTTTTCTATACACTTGTATGTACAAAATGACAAAATAAAATCTAAGTCATAAAGTGGCGAAAAATGATTGAATATCAAATGCAAATATTAAGTGTGTTTTTTTTTTTTGTTTTTTTTTTGCATGTTAAAGATTTTTATCATATAAAAAATGAGCAGATCCTAGAACAGAGTCTATACTCCTTTGAGACATGTGGTTAAACCAACACTTAGTAATGTTTTTAACCTAAAAATATTCTCTTCCAAGTCCCTTTGATAGTAATTTAAGAGTACATGAGATGAGCGAGGGGTTCATCTTCTCCCCCAGCTCTTTCAGGTCAAAAACCATACTTGTAACTCTAACTTTTTTTCCACCCAGTGTCAGTCTTGTGGCTCTGTTCTCATTCTAAGAGAATGTTGCTGCTTTAATCACAGGTGATCAAATCACTCTTTTGGATTTTGGAGTATAAAATGGCAGAGCTATTAAAAAAAAAAAAGGAGGAGGGGGACCTTTAAGCAAATAGGAAAGGAAGAGAAGCTGTAAATTAGTTTGCAATAGGGCTGGAACAGACAAAACCAAAGATGCAAAACTGATAAAAACCTGACAATGTTGTTAATGGGATTAAAAGAGCCATATGTGCTAATCTCTTTTGGTGTTCTTATTATGACTTTAGAGTGATTGAAAGTGAGGGGGAAAAAAGCTTTAGGTCCCTGTTTCCCTCTGTGTTCAATGGTCATTATGATCCCTCTAAAGTTTTCAGTTAGCAGCTGAAATAAATACAGGCTGACTTCATTTACTGATCACGCTGCTACTTAAGGCAGTTGATCATTTACCACACTACATTACAGCCTTTTGCTTGTTAAAAAATAAAAGATATCTTTTTTTGTCTTCTACCACCATGCTCTACTGTATATTTTTTTATCTACCATGTAATATGCAGGTTAATGTCTGTGGCTGTTATCTAACAGAATGGAAAATGCAATATGAGTATGGAGGTTTTTTTAAAGGAAGTGTTGAAACAGGATCTTTTTTTAGGTCTGCGGATGTTTTCAGGTCTGTAGATTAAGAAACCTCACCATCTGATGGGTAACCTTTTAAAAGGAAGTGTAAAAGTGTGTTTTTTTAATACTGTATTTTGCATAGATAAGGAAATACGACTGTAAAAAAAAACGTATTCTTTTTATTTTTTCAGTTTTCTCTTCTGGGCTCAGTGTGGCAGTTCTGCTAAGATTGAGCGGGCCAGCCTGGATGGACGGGATCGGATGGCCTTAGTCACTTCCTTATTACGCCAGCCTGTTGCCCTCTCTCTTGGTACGCTTAGAAATTTTGCATAAATAATTTTTCTGTGTAGAAACCCGGACTGTCTCACAGAATGCATAAGAGGTTTCCTGGTTTAATTTTTGCATCCGTTTTGCATGCCTATAAGTTCCGTCGAGTCGGAAAAAATTAAAATCTTGTTCCACAGGTCAAGCAGCAGCATTTAAAACTTATTTTTCAGCATTTTCACTTGATGCAGTGATTTAGATCCCTGTGAAATCCCTTAAGCTTGCATAGATAATGTTTTACTCCTAAAATTATTTGTCATACTTTATTTTTATGGATGTGGATATATTACTTTCTGGGGGAAAAATATCACCACTGAACATGATTTATTAAATTAGGAACAATTTCAACCTGGTTTTCGTTCCCATCAAAGCACTGAAAAGGCTTTTCTTAAGGTTATTAATGAGCTTCACCTTCCTGCTGACTCTTGTCTCACTATCCATTCCTGTTCTACTTGATTTGACTGCGGCATTTGATAATCTCACTCGCTATCATCCTGAACAAACTTGCCTTAATGCCATCTTAACTGGTTTGGTTCATACGTTTCAGGCCGCGATCAATTCATTGAATTCAAATGAAAAATCCTGTCTCTGTTACCTCAGGTGTTCCCCAGGACTGTATCCCTATTGTTTATAATCTACATCATCCCCCTTGGCCACACATTTCAGAAGTATTATATTAATTTCCATTGCTATGCGGAGGATATCCAGCTCCATCTCTTAGCCAAACCCAACTCCACTGATAATGTTTCCATTTTTATCTCTCTGCAGGTTGAGAGTCTCAATGTCATTCTTGACGGCTCTTTATTTTTTCCTCTTGTGTTAATAATATTACCCGGTCTACTTCTATCTTGTAGCACAAACCGCCTCCATCCTTCCCTTTTTTACCCACTGCTGCCCTTGTCCACATCTTGGTCATTTGCTCCCAAGACTATTCCCTCCTTTTTGGTTGTATGCAAAAATCCCTTCATAAACTACAAATGGTCCAGAACTCAGCTGCTTGAACCATTACACGCACACCACCCATCACAGCACACCTGTTCGCCAGCAGCTGCATTGGCTTCCCATCTGCAATTCTATAAATTAACAAATACTTCTTCTCACCTTCAAGGTTATCCACAACTTCGCTCCCCCATATCTTTCTGAACTCCTCCATGTTGCCACACCCACCAGAACCCTCAACCTCTCCTATTCATCTCACCCTTCCCTCTGTCCGTCTTGTTATCATGGAGAGCAGAGCTTTTAGCTGCTATGCCCCCCCTGCTGTGGAACCTGATCCCATTGGATCTCCATAGCATCAGTTCTCTATCACTTTTAAAATCTAACCTGAAAAGACTCACCTTTTTAAACATTCATTTGTTGTCATAGTTTAACCATTTCACCTCAATTTATTTGACTGTTTTAACTACTTGCCTTTCTTGCAGTTTTTAGTTGTGAAATATAAGGTGTCCTTGAGTGTCCTTTCTGGACATAAATAGATAAAAAACCTATAAATAAAATGTATTATTATTATTAGTATTACTTCCAGCTTTGGTTCAAATCATTGCAGGAGTAAACCAGAAGTAAAACAGTCCTCTGGCAATATATTTTTCTAAATTTTAAATGAATATACCTAATTACATATTTGTCACTCAGTGCTGCTGCTAATGTGAATAAATAATGTGGTTTTGTTTTTCCTAGATATGCCTCGGCGGTTGCTGTACTGGTTTGACCAGGGAATGAGGAGCATTTCCAGAATAAATTTTGAAGGACAGCACCGTAAAACAGTGGTAGAGTCTAACGGCTACGTGGACCGGGTATTTGGACTAGCCGTCTTTGAGGTACGAGGCTGAACATTTTTTATTTCACATTCCTGCTTTAAGGCCCAGCAACAGTTTAAGTTGTGGTCTTAATCCACTAATCATTTAAGGCATTTTTTTTTCAGTGGGTTAAATTAATTCCATGAAATACCAGTGAGTTTGGAACCTCTTCACTCATGTGGGGAGATAAAGCAAACTCCCCCTTCCTACTTGTCATGGTTTCATTCAGGGGACTGATAAGGGGGATTGTGAGAATAAATTCCCATCATTGACTGCCTTCTTTGAAAGGTCATAATGGTGTGGAATATACCTTTTTACCAAACCACTAGGGCTAGCATGCATCTTGATATATGACGTTTAGGTTTCATTTCAATCTGAAATGCTCTGCTAAGCCTTACCTGCATATTCTGACTGCCCCGTCATCAGGATCGATTCCTGTCTATTTTCAAGACTCCTTTTTAAACTGCCTCATCATGATTAAAAGTGTCTGCCTTTCCACCAAACCAAAGCCCACCTCAGTCCCCTTCATCGCACCGTCTGCCTCCAAATCAGTTCAGCTTTCTTCCTCTTTCATCTTCCAGTCCACCCCGGGGCGAAGACATCTCCATTCTCATTAATCCTCCTATTTTATCATCATCAATAGTAGCCTCAGTGTCAAAATACTTTTAATACTTCATGTCAATAAACCCACTAATTTCCCGCTTATCTCCTTGCGAGTGTCTCCAGGTTGAAATTCCAGTAATGCCTCCCAAAGGAGCACAGAAACGGTGTTGGGTCAGTTGTGGGTTCATTTGGACTATTGTTACTAAAAGACCCAGTGATAATTATGTTCTTATAGCGTGGGAAACATGTTTCTTCTAAAAAGTGCCACATGATAGTCATTGTCATTTTATTAAGGACCAAATATTAATCTCATCTGAATAATAATATTAGAATAGAAAGCATCCATAGAGTATTTTCAGTGCAGTTACTATCTAAGGGCACGGTTTGATGATATATTTAATTTCAAGAAAAGGTCACACTCCAAAAAACGTAGTTTTTGACAATTCGCATCTCATATTAATAGTGAAAGGTATTTGAAAAAACCAATTGAAAGGTTTGAGAAGAGCTACGTTGTTTGCCTCACTTCCAAGTCACATCATTTTCCATCTCAGTTTTGTAACAAGAGTCGTCATATAAGGCAATCAGACCAACTATATTTATATTATCTGCTTACCTAAGTTTAGATTGATGTAGCACAATCATAGGTGTAAGTAGAGTCGGATCTTCAAATATTTAAAATAAGGGGTGCTAAATTGCATGTGCAGTAAAAAGAAACTTTATTCGAGCAATAAGTGGAACATAACCTGCATATTGATAAAGGGACACATGAAAAAAATTGCTTGCATACCCTGTTTGCTGAATTGCAAGCTAAATCAATTTGCACCTTCTTTGATCACCTGCTTTGCAGGTATTTCACCTGTATTAAGACATGGTAACATTCTGGAGATAAGGCCCAAAGTGTACAACAAAGGACTTGAAATATAACCCTGTGCCAAAGCGGAGTAAACAGTAAATTCATCAGAGTAGCAGTCATTAACCTTGACCCTTTAAGTTTAAAAAAGCAAAAATCTATTTACCTTTATCATTCAGTCATGGTGGATTCCTGTGAATAAACGTTGCAGGGAAAAGAAAATTAAGAGCAGAGCTATAAACAATAAAATTAAACATGCCCATATTCACTGACCAGGAAGAGGTGAGGTGTGGCAGAGTGTTATCGTTTCTACCAAAAACTGAGACCGTCTTTTTTAGCACCTAATCTGCTCAGTGACAGCAACTGTTTTTTTTTTTTTAGTTTATATATTGAAACCTGCATTTTGGCTGCAGGAGGTCTGACTTTGTTCTATAGGACCTACAGTTGAACTACGCTATAATCTGAAGAGCTTCTACTGAAAGATGGGGCTTTGTCAGTTCTTTATTTCAGCTCTGCAGGAGTTGAACCCAGTTTCTTCATTGGTTTGGAAGCTTCAATGCAGCAAACAAATGTCAAAATGTATCATACATATATATATATATATATATATATATATATATATATATATATATATATATATATATATATATATATATTTATCCATCCAGCATCCCATTTCATTCTGTACAAAAAAAAATGGTTTGATTTGTTTAAAACTCTTTTAATAGATGAAATTAACATTGATCTGTGCTAATTCCATGTCAGGGATTTTTGTATTGGGGGGATGAAGCTACGCACTCCATCTGTCGTGCAAACAAGCACAATGGCGAAAACCTCCAGGTGCTAATGTCAAACATCAGCTTATCCCATGGTTTGGTCGTTGTTCACTCTGTGCTTCAGCCAAAAGGTAGGGCCATTTTAATTCGAATTCTTAACTTTTAAGTTTCTAATAAACTTCTGCTTTCTGTTAGCGATTGCCTTCAAAGTAACATCTTGACGTAATGATTTCCCCTCAGCTAACTGATGCTTGTTACTTCCCAGGAGCCGCTGCATGTGGACGACCAGGAACGGTGTGCCAACATGAGTGCCTTGTTGATCTGATGCCTGAGAGGCTGCATTTCAGCTGCAACTCTAAACAAACAAGACCCAACAAACCTGAGATTCCGTCCTTGTCTCGCTCATCTCCTGCATCAACTTTATCTGATCCCACCTTTGCTGGAATCCTGTCCCTTATCTGTAAGAATAAGTCTTCATTTATCCAAATATTTAAACATCTTTTCTCTCTGGGAGAGGCAAGCTTCACAAACATTACACTGTAAGGCTATCAATGAAATGAATCGGCAGCGATAACAAAGTGACTGACGATCCAATATTGATATTTGTAATATTAATATTTGGTATTTGTCAGTTAAAATTTCCTCGTAGCATTTTAGAAGACTTAATACTGTTTTTTATGTTAAAGTAACTTAACTTTGACCCAATTATCAACTTCATTTGAGATATTTTCAATGAATTTTCTGGTAAATATAAAGCTCTTGAATTCAATTCAATTTAGTTTATTTATACAGCTCCAATTCACAACAAATTGCATCTCAAAGCAGTTTACAGAAACTATTGGTGTGTATTAATGCTCCATCTGGGCTACTCTTCTCAAATCTTCAATTATGCAACTCTGGAAGGTTGGATCCATCTCTGAATCAGTCATGTGACCCAGAGTGCTGCTTTATGGCAGCCTGAGTTCCCCTTGAACCCAGAGCTAACAAGGCTGAAAGTTGTTTAAGGCAAGCACACAGATATGACTCTTATCAGATGTATATTTGGTTCTATGATTTAAAGGGATAAATGTGGCCTTCTCAGAGTGACTTCTCACTCTGCTCGTCCAAAACATGAAGGACGGCTTTTTATTTCAAGGACAGTGCTGCGTTGCCAGCTGCTTTTAGGGACGCTTAACCTGGAAGTTACAGGTCAAGTTACTCTCTTAGTTTACTAACAGAAGCAACCAGAACAAACTATATGTGCAGTTCACTCAGATGATAACCAGTCCTGTGTTTTAAAGCAGGTTTGGTTCAGTTGCAAAAATGATCATAATCTTTACAATTCAAAATCTTATAGGATCAGTCATAAAGCAAGAACTGCAACTGGACGTTTATATTATTTTCTGTAAAACATCCTCAGCTGAGAAATTTGAAGTCCCATTGCATATTTGAATCTTTGTAGTTGCACTATTACTTTAAATTTTAACTGTATTTTAATGCTTTGATCCAATTATTGAAATTTCTTAAAAGCTTTTACTTTTACTCTTTCTATCCCTTTTGAAAAGAATGATTTTGTGTTAAATATTTGGAGTTTTAGTTTTATCTACTCATGTGAAGAAAAAAAGTCGATACCCCTCAGTTAATGAAAGAAAAACGAGCCACATGACAAAAGTAATGTTAAATGAAAATTCAATGAAAATGGATAAATAAAAGTCAGACGTTACTTTTCAATCATGCTTCAACAGAATGATTTAAAAAAATTAACTCATTAAATGGTCGTGGACAAAAATAATGGTACAGTTACGGTAAGTTCATGTCTTATATACATACATTATATACAACCATTTAAGGCAATTAAACTAGTCCTGTAACTATCAGTGAGACTTCTACTCCTCTCAGCAGGTATTTTGCTCAACTCCTCATAAGCAAACAGCTTATTATCTCAGGTTCTAGGTTGCCTTTTCCAGACAACATGTTTCAGCTCCTTCCAAATATGCTCAATAGGATTTAGGACCTGACTCGTAGAAGGACACTTCAGAATAGTCCAATGTTTTCCTTTGGGCCAATCTTGGTTGTTTCACAGCTTTCTCGAAAATATTCCAGACACCCTGTGCCAGACGAAGCAAAACTGCCCCAGATCATAACAGAGCCTCCTCCTTGCTTCATAGTAGGGACACTGTTCTTTTTTGATATGCTTCATTTTTCTGTCTGTGAAAAACAAACTGGAGCAGCAAATTTGTGTCCTTGAAAGGCCCAAGATCTGGACTGAAGTCCATTTGAGAATCTTTCACTAAACCTGAAAACTACTAAGTACAAGACATGTTATAGCACTCTGATTTCATTTAATTAGTTTAATGTAATTGTTAGGAAAACCATTTTATCCTAATCCTACTCTAAGCTGTTGGGTTTTCCCATTGCATCCTTCAAATAGCATAAAGACCCTGAAGATTTTCCACTTTCCACATCTGAGATACTTTGTTAAACTGATGAAGGCCACGAAGAGAAGTTGCATTTGTAATAAAACAACCATCTTTTGATGAATCAACTGCTTTTTTTCAAAGGTTTTCTATAACCTTACACAACCTTTTGTTCACGCTTATCTTGCTTTACAAAACTGTCCTTCCTGAAGTCTGTGTTTCACTTCTCTAAGATTGTGTTTAGAGCATGTTTTTACCAAAGCAAACGCCTCAGTGGGCTTATATTGGCTGGTGAACATGAGTCATTGAAACTGAGAAACTTCACATATTGCAGCCATGCCCAGTGATGTTAACAGACTCAAAGGAGGTGGTTGACATCATGCAGAAACTTTACATCAGCCTCTCAATGCACCCCTGGCCCGCTTGGCACAGGCTGCAGAGTGTGATGCATGTCTGCTGTGTGTCTCCCAGTGTTCCTAAGTCTGCTCCTGGTGGGGATGGCTTGGTGGTGGTGGAGAGACGAGTTTCAGCCCTCCAGGTCTCTCACGTTGCAGAGCATCTCCCTCAAAGAGTCCCAGGACCCGCTCATAACTCAGCAGCCACCTGTGGTCCCGAACACAACTTTAGACAAGGCAAGTATAAGTAAAACACAAAGGTATACACTTTTTCAAATGTAAATATTTGAGATAGAAAATAATTTTTGACAAGTTTACAAGTTAATGCAACCTTTTTTTTTTTATCAATCTGGTTCTTTCAGAAAAAAATAAAGCTCCCTGAAACTTGCAAATGGTTGTTAAAAACTTTGGCAACTTGAGGTTTTTCATCACTGGGAGGAAACTTGGGCCACTACCAGAGACTGAGTTTACAGCCTGCTACCATAATGCTGCTTCATTTCAAACCTAAAGGCCAGATTGTAACATAGTCAATTCAAAATAACTTAATTTAGGTTTTTATTGTGACGTTCAGAAGTGGGTTTGTTGGTAAGCTTTAGATCATTGTTATGTTCCATAATTTCCCTTAATGCAGGTAAATTAAAGCTAATATGTTTATAAGTCTAGCTTTATTTTCCGTTGCTTTTTAAAATGTTATTGTCATCAATTATCTGGGCTTCTATGATGTAGGAATTCTGCAGCTCCTTCAATCATATGGTGGGCAGGTGGTTCCTAAGGAAATTCAAAGCAACATCAATGCTTGCAACATTAAAAAATATCAGTTTTCAGATGGCTGTAAAGAAAAAAAATGTTCCTTAATTAATTTCCGGAGGAAGTCTTCCCAAGGGATCAATAAAGTACTGTCTAAGTCTCTAAGTCTAAGAAGGTTTGAAGGCTACCTGCTGTGACCTTTTTGCCATTTTAAGGGATTTTCTTCTTCAGAGTAGCCTTAGGAATAAAGTAAAGCATCAAGTTAAAAACCAGATAATAGGATAAAATCTGGTTTCCTTTAACTAGTAAATGCATTTTGTTATGCATTTATTTAAAGTTGTATTTTCTACTTTTTTTAAGGTGAAAATTACCTTGATGTTTGAAATGTATTAGATTGTCATGGTTAGGTCACTTTTTACAGCTTAGAGGTATTTTGTGTGTCTTCTCTGAGTTCTATTAATACAACGGTTCCCTTCCTGACAGGACATCCTTCTTAGAGTGGATTTGGACTCTGAGTGAAGGTCCAGCACAGACCAAGAGCTGACCATGCACTGCCTGCTGTTTTCTAATCCCAGCGGTGAACTCAGAGGAGACACACCCGGGCGATTAAGTTGGGACGTTCCAACTTGGTCTGGGTGTGAACATCACTGAAGTAATGACGTGTATGTCTGAGCTCAGGGAGTTGTGGTGGCCTTCCATCATAACTTTGTTCCCTCAGTTTGATGGGTAATACATTTTAGTCCTAATGGATCTCTGCTGTTCAAGACTTTTATAAGTCACTCCAACAGAATTTTTGCACAAATGAACTAAAGAACATCAAATAATTAGCTAGGAAAGTTGATTAAGTTTAGAGTTGCAGCCTCAAAGTCTGATAAATAGTAGAAATAGGACCTGTTTATACTCCTAATGACAATATTAACCGAGAGGCTGAATGGTTGAACAGATCATTTGGTGTCAGATTTTCTGTTTTAATTGAAGAAGCTGGGATGTCGAGTTTTTGTTGGATTTTGCCTTTTTGTTTCATAGGGTTGAAGAATAATATATTTAAGTGCAATTTGACCTATTAACGGATTTATAAATCTAAACTATTGAGTTATTTGGGAGTAACTGAATAAAACAGTTTATAAAACTTATTGGAATCAACTCTGAATGTATTGCGTCTTACCCTGCTGCCTGGTGAGTATTTATGTTATTTATGAATGCTTATTATTATTATTTCACTCTGAAGAGTGAAAAGTGAAAAATCAATCCAAACCATCTCTAATTTACTCTAATTGGACTTTATCACATTCCTTTTTTCAGTTATGTTTTTTATGTTCAAATTAAAATAAGAAAGAAAAACAAATATAGCCTCAACTGAAATAGAAATGTTTCCACAAGAAATTACCTAAATTGTGTCTGATTTGTGGTGAGTGAAAGCTAAGAGGAAATAGTCCTACTTTAAAATACAAGTTTCAGTTAATGTTTATAATGCTTGTGTTAAAACTTTACTATCAGGAAATGAAAATATGGCTTTGGTATAACACCCTGACAGTTGGTCTACAAATTATTTACGTCCAGTGCCTTGTTAAATAATTTATACCATTTGAAACTTTTCATGCCTTTTTTTTTCCATTTTAATGTGAAACGGTAAGGAAACCGTTTTTTTTTTTTTCCCAAATAAATCTGTAATTTATTTTTCACCTGTTGCTTGTTCTTAGGTTTCCATTTTAAACTTTTAGCTTTGCCACAAATTCCCTTTAGAGTTAAGATTTGGACTTTGACTCGACCATTCTCACGGAAATTTGCTTCAACATAAAACATTCCAGTCTTAAATCCTCTGAACTCTGTTACTGGTATTTTAATTTTCCTATAAACTCCATCTATCATCCCATAAACCTCATTTACTCATTAGAATTTTTTTTTCTTTTATGACATCTTGAAGTATCAGAGTAAGTGGATGGATCACTGGTAAGAAATTTATAAATTTGGGGGAATATTCATCATTTTCCTTTTCATTATTATTTTTTTCTGTCTGAAAAATTACAATGAAATTCAAGCATGTTTCTGATAACGTCTAAAGCCATTTAGCACGTTGGATCATTTTGCAATCAACTGTACAATGTTTCCTAATGTTTTGTCTCTGCTCTAAATATGTTCACCAGCGTTTCTTTAGGCTTGTTAAAGGAAAAATGGGCTAATAAGGTCGGCAGCACTCTCTGTTTATGTATTTAATGTAAGTAAATTAGGTTTCTTTGTTTGTTTTCTGACCTCTTGTCCGGGAATAGGAACAAATGTAGATATCAACATCTCCATGTCTGAATACCTGAAATAGTTTTTTTTTTTTTTTTTGTTATTACTATTAGATAAATGTGTCTTTAGGACAGATGGTGATACTGTACACGTGCTGCTGCGTTGCTCAGTCAGTATTTATGTATAAGGAGGGTTTTATTTGCCGTGGACATGATAACATGCTGTAAAAGTTATATGTACTTAGTGCAACACTGTGGATGCTATAAAAAAACAATAAACAACTGTGTGTTATAACTTGAAGTTTAACCAACCCCCCTTATTCTTAAAACCATTCTACTGAGGTTTCCTGTTTTTTGCATTACCACAGCTATAGTTCATTAAATGTCTTATTTAAATGTATATACGTTTGTGGTAAAGTAAAGAAGCGGAGGAGCATGATTCTCTTCACATGAGTAAAGTGAGACACCCATCTTCAGCCTTTTGAACACTAAGATTACCTGAGCAGGTTAAACATCCGCCTCTATATGTACCACAGCTTTAAGCTCTTAAATGTGTGTTCACTAATCCACTTTTACAATCCTCCCTCAAACAATGCGGTGTGCAAAGACTAACGCATCCTATAGTTTATTTGCCTGCAATACTCCAAACTTAAACCGCATAAGAAATATGATTCCTCCTTCTTTTATCCTCTTAGCATAAACCAGATGTTCCCATCATTTCTTAATTTATGTTGAAATTATTTTCCAGTTCATCTTAATTACCCATTTATCTTCAGCAGACATAGTTTTCCATTAGGAAAGTTGTGCTTTTGTCATTTGCTCTAAATTTGTTGTCAGTTCTATATGAACAAAAGAAATGATTGTGTGTTATAGAAAGCCAGCACTGTGAAACTGCACAATGAATCTCCTTTTCTGTTTACAGCATGTTAGGAAATGTCATTGGAACCATTATTTATCATACATTCTAAGAGTTATACCAGTCTTTGTCCCTGCGGCTCTTCAAAACTGATCAGGTCTTCAATGTATTCATCTGACAGAATACATAAACTTATAAAATATGCGGATAAAACCTTCTGCACATTGTCTAATCAGTTCATTGCATACTCCATTTATTTCATCTCTGGAGTCTACAAATGCCCATGAATAAATTAATACATATTTTCCAAATTCTCACTTCCTGCCTCTGTTTTTCAGTCTCCAAAAAAGTGACTTGGCAAAACATCAGCGGACTCGCTGATAAAGTTGGTGCTGCTTGACCTTTTTGTTTTTTTCAACCGTTACAGGGAAGCTTTCCTTGAAGTTTGGAACCAAACAGGAAACTGGGTGCTTTGCAGCGACACAATGCCCTGCGGGAACACCCCTTTTTTATTTTTTTTTTTTATTTTGGCTTGTTTGTTTTGCCTCCCTTTCTATGGCATGGTTGATAAAACCCTGGTAGAGCCTGCAGAGATGTTTGCAAACTCATCTCTCCTCTATCTATTTTCTCTCAGAGGACAGAGCCCCTCCCCCGCCCCGGGTGTCAGCACTGATAAGAGTCTAAATGTGAAGTGAAATGTTTTGAAAGTCTTCCTGAGTGGATAAAACGGCTCGTAAGACACCAGCCCCAACGTGACCCTGACGGAGAAGCATGAAAGGATGCATAAAATGATTAAGGAAGTGAAACGAAACTTAGCAAAGCCAAAGACCACTTAAAAAAAATAAATAAAAAAAATTCAGTCTTGATTGAAAGCAACTGAAAGCGCTTTTAACGTATCCCAGGAGTTTATTCCAGATTAGTGGAGCATAACTAAACACTACTTCTCTATGTTTGGTTCTGGTTTTAGGTTCTACAAAGTAGACTTGAGTCAGAAGACCTGAGAGATCTTTGTGGTAGAAACACTGACAGCAAATCTGTAATGAATTAAGGAGCCAAGCCATGGGATTTTAGCATTGGGGTGACCAAAACTTTTTCTTGTTTCTACAAGAAAGAAAGATGTTATCCCATTTAATGATTTTAAAAATTAGTCAAAGTGAATATTATTGAACATGTTTGTTTGCGTTACGTGAAAGTAGACCAGAAAAGCTACGACCTAAACGCTAATTCCGACATTTTGAATTGAAAAAGCTTCCTGGATGGGAAGCGAAATGTCTTCAAAATTGGAAACAAACTCCAATGGATTGTTTTTTAACTTTTTTAAAATGACTATGACCTGGATAACTGGGAATATCCCCCAGCATAGACCAGAAAACTTTTAAAAACCTTTTAAAACAGCAACATGCAGGATCTGCTCAGATGTTAAATGAAGCTTGACTTTTCAACAGGTTTAGTGGGATATAACTCACAGTTCATGGAATTATTACACCCTCCGCCTCTTTTTCACCTTAAATTATTCTTCTTTTGGGCTTCCTGCTAATATTAAATTCTCCACTAAAGCCCAACATCAGTGGAGTTCTGACCCTTTTCCATTTCACCTTTACCTCTGTGTCTGCATTCGACAGAGAAAGAACACAGTGCATTGAAAGTAAGGGCTGTTGATGTACTGTTTTTCCTCTGCTGAATGCATTATAAGGACATGGAGCCAAAGCCAAGCTTTCAGAAGGCAAACAATTGAGCTAAGGACTTAAAATAGATGTTTTCAAAGAAAAACAATTATGCAAACAAAGGTTAAGAGAGCTCCACAGAGAAAATGATCTGATGAGTAATATTATAAAGCAACATAGTCTATGATATTACATCATAATAAAGTTAAAGTAAAATATGTTTCAACCAAAAAAACATCTAAACTTGTGGGGGAAATGGATTAAATGAAACTTTGAATTTAACAGGCTTTGGATGAGAAATGCAGAAGACCTTGAATATAATTTTTGTTGCATGCTAGCTCTCTATTTTTTTGTCTTTAAATCCTTAAGTGGAACATATCTCTGAGTAAATACTAAACGAAGACTGAAAAACAATACAGGATATTTAAATCCTCCTCCTAGATTGAATTACTTTATTACATAAGCATCAGTTATCTGATATATCATTTCTTTCAGGCTTTGTTTTCTTTTGTCTCAGATGTAACTAGATACTGTCTTGATTACTGGTTAAGCAGGTGTTTGTTTCGTTCCACAGAGAAAGGACAGTTCAGGAGAATTTACATTGAGGTGATGACATTTTTTCTGGATTCATGAGGTTTTTACTTCTCTGCTAAATAAAAACACTGAAGATATTTCTAGAGTGTAAAGTTAAGGGGTATATATTTTGACAATGACCAAGTTCAAACTAAATGCTATGCATCTTTTCAACAGCCACCAGTAAAATGAATTACAGCAAAGCTATTCAGTGGTTTAATTACAGCAGCGTCAGATTTCTGTTGGTGGTTTTATTACTCCATGTTACCTTAAGTAGCCTGTGCTAATGCTGGGGTTACACATTAAACAATATTAAGCTTCTCTCCAGTATTTGAGATAATTTAATGTATATTTGCTGCATAAGGTTTAACCTCTGTTAACCTGTTAATCTCTTCATTAAATCATACCTTTTATGCTACAACATTTCCATCCAAATATAAATGTTCCGTAAGAGGTTGGGCCTTTCCTCTGGTGTCACACATCTAGGCTGCAAAGTGTGACGAGTGTTTCATAGTTATTAGCTGCCGCTAATCATATTTAACCAGTGTCTATATGATACTATTCCATCACTTTGTGGTGTTTGTTTATCTTTATTCAGAGGTGTACTTTCTTTGCATTTCCCATTGTGCCACGCTATGACATCACCAATGTATCAAACTGCTGAAAGACTAATAAATATGTGCAGTTTTAATACATTTAATTGAATTTCATCATATTCTTTAAAGGTGTCATATTCTAAATGCATAACTACATTTTCTTATCACATTACTTTCTTAGCACACTACAAATAGATTGTCAAATCTGTTTCTAATTTACTGATTTTCTCAGGATCCGTTGCAGGATAAGTAGATTTTGCATCATGCATTTTTCTCCTACACTGTTTACATTTGATCACTGCTGCACTCTATGGAATGGAAATGTTCATTTCACTGCTAAGCTGCTGCTCATTTACTGTCTGAAAGCTGTACAAAATGAAATTTCGTTTAGTAAACACTCTTTGTATACAAAATGATAATAAAAGTTGTCCAAGTAGCTATTCTAAAACCATCCTTGGAAAACAGATAAATTTAGTTGCGTAAAGAACAAAACTGAAAATTTATGATATGACAGAAGGGGAAAAACGACCAGCAACCTGTCATGCATGTTAGATTTAGAACTAAATTATAAGTTACTGATACAGGAGCATATACAATATTTTTTTCTTGTGTATGCTGCTGCATTGTTTTTTTTTAATCTGATTTGTATTTTTAAGGACCTCTGTATTCTTTCAAATGAAATGAAATCAATCAGAGAGCCATACAGTATGTGACTTTGTATGCTGAATCATTAAAAGGAAAAGTTGAATGGCCGTGAGTTCAGAGACCATTGATAAGAAAGGTAAAATGATGCATGCACCTATAAGTAAGGTCAAATATGTGGGCAACATGTTGACATTTAAACCTGCAATTAAAATAAATTAAAGCAAAGATTTTCCTTTAAAGGTTTTAACGTTTCTGAATATTTTATGCAGACCTGATGTGTTGGCTTTCCCTGGGAAATTAACGTTTCTTCCACTTAATGCGTACTCTTTACAGACTGGAGGATCAAATGAATAAAAGCACTGTTTGATTCTAGCTGCCATCTCTTTGTTCAATAATTTATGTGATTGTCCAATCTTTTACTTGTGGTTATAGGTTCCTCTCAGTAAATCAGAATTTCGATAAAATGTTCATCTATCTTGGTAATTTAGTTAACAAAAGGGTGGTTGTTGATAGGCTGGAAATCCCTAGAAACAGCTGAGATTTTTAAACTTGGTTTAATCTAACATAGCTAGCAGTTGTATATCCACTTTCTTCCAAACCAACCAGTGGCATTTGTACATGCAGCAAACTGCTCAGCCTAAGCACAGGCCTAGATTTTACGCAAAATTTCCATATTTCCTTGAAGTGCTTTGACTTTTTAAGACATGTTGACTTGCATGCAGAGCGAAAGCTTGAATGGTTTCAAATTTCCCAAAGTCCTCAGTGAACCTGTTCATAGTAACACACCTTCATACTAATCACTCTAACCGACCATAAATCATCATAAAAAAATTCCACTCTGACAGGGTTTGCTACTCTCTTACACAAATAAAAGAAATAAATCCTAACAATATTTTTGAAAATCAAAGCTACTACTTTTACTGAACAAAGCCACACAACTATTAGGT